TTCCTCTTTTGAAGAACAATTGTTTACTTCACTGAATAACCAAATACGGTGCTTCCTATCTTTTCCAAGGAAGTACCGCATTAGTCTAGAACGGGAGGTGGGCAGCCCACAACTCGCTCCCTCTCCATAGAACATAAAGGATTCGGCATTGATCATGCTCGTTTCTGGGATGCAGCGCTGCATTTGACTTTCATTCAGAATCGTAGCAACGTTTTGAATATGTATGTGATCTATACAGCAAGAATGAGATAATGTCCAAAAAACAGGATGATCGATTTATTTATTCTCGATTCTTCAAAGTAAATCGCTCAAACAGATGTAAAAGGCCAGTCAAACCATCTTCCCATGACATGCAGTGGCCACTCCATGTACAGGTGAGTGCTTTTATCCTCCTAGAAGGGTCCAGAGCCAGCTATTCGATCTCGGAAGAAAAAAAGGCATGGTGGTCGGGTGGATATTGATACTGGATTCGAAACCTTGACCATGCGTGTGTGGTGCGCTACTTGCCACTACACCTCCTCCACTCTATCTGAAGCACCATGTCAAAATTATGCTTATGCAGCTGTCAAGGGTAAAATTACGGAAGTAAAGTGAAAAAGGGAATGAAAGACCTAACACAGAAGTCTAAATCAAATCGCTCGTTTTGAGCTGAATGTATGCATCAGTGCCGACTAAAGGATGGTGCTTCTTTCTCTTACCAAAGAAAAACGCAAGCAGTCAAGTCGGTTAGGGATGTTCTTCCAAGGGTTTTCTTGCGTATGTTTCTCATACAAGCCTGTTTTCGTTCTTCGTCTAAGCCTAAGATTTAACTGACACGGGAAACTTGGGTAAACGTTTTGGGAAAGGAAATTCAAGGATACTTTGGAATAGGCAGATGCGATGAATGGGCTTAGGGAGCAGAAGAACAGACGTGTGTTCTCCTTTCCTCAGATAGCTCCATGCATCCAGAATTTTTCCCCAATAGTATTATACATTTAAGAATATTGTAGGTTTAAGTAAGAACATAAAAGGATGCTCAAGCGCTAAGCACATGCATAGTATTATAGTTACGAGCAAGGTAATTGTTGACCAGATCGTGCTCTGTAACACCACTATTTCGAACTTCTCCCTTATAGGAAGAAGAGACTCCTGGTAACACACAAGAAGATGAATTAGAACTCACAACAGTAATAGTAGAAAAGAAAACGCAAGGGCAAGCAGACCATACCCTTGCGAATCATGTGAGAGCTTGTGCAGACACACAATAATTTTCATTCCTCTAGCGTATCCCCTACCATCAGAAAACATAATGGTCTTGATTCAGATTTTTGAAGTCTCCGTCGTCACGTCCCCTTCTTACGCCTTCCAATCGTGCTCGGTGCCTCCAAAAGGAAATTTTCACTGTGAGAGTATTTGGATACCCATGTTCAATCCTCCTTCTTCCATAAGCGAGGAAGGATGTAGCATAGATTCGTTAGCACAGATAGCTGATTCGTTTAGCCAATCAATATCAATGGATCAACGTGATTAAACGGAATAGCTACTTTTCGAAGTTGCTCTTACAAAGCGTGTTTATGAGTGACTTCAATTAAGAGGTAATGGTCGAGAAACAACCAACCTGAGAGCACTGTTGAACAGGGGATTTTTTCAACCTTCCTCTCCAAATCACGAAGAGCAGAGGTAGAAGAAAGCAAACAAAGGATTCCATCACATTACACGAGATTATTATAATATTTACTTCTACAACGAGCAACAACAAACAAAAATAGAACACGTATCAAAGCAAATTGTTATAATCTTTACTTTACTATTTCTGCGTAGGAATGGATTTCACTCTAATTGTTCGCGTCGTTGGGCTTGAAGATGACATTCCGACTTGTTTGCAGTTCATTGTGAATAGCGTAAGAATAAACTTACGATAATCCTTTATAAAAGCCAGACTTATCAGCGGACTTGTCAAAGGAAACAGAGCCATCAGTATTCCTATGGTGGTACCCAACCAATTAGGTGACGTGGCCCCAGTAAACAGTAGACCATACATTGTATACAGTGGAATATGGAGAAGAATAATTGGGCATGCAGTCTAAAACATATTCCGAATTCATTAGGGCAAGTAAATAGTTCTCAATTTGTCCAGACGTCTTCAGTGATGAAATGTTCATGACATACGCAAGTTCTGATAGATAAGCTCATACAACATTCTTGAGAAAACTTCCAATAGATGGTTTACAATCAGGTTAAAATTATATGACCAGATTTCCTTTCGTTCTGTTAGGAAGAACCCGTACTCCATTTTGAAGACTATATATTGAGGCAGAGGTGAATCAAAAGGGTAATGACCACAACCAGGGCATTTGTAGAACATCGCAGAAAAGGAGATGTCTCCCTTGCCTATTGCAAAAGAAAATGAGAACAAACGTAAAAGGATGGGTGAAATCTATGTAAGAAACAGTAGAGTCAAATCTCTTTCAAAAGTCGAAAGGATTTATAGTTCTCTAGTCGATGTTCCCAAGAACATCCATTTCCAATGTGAGCCAGTACATAAATTAAGGTACATTGAGCACTAATTTCCTGAGACCGTAATGAGCAAGTAGTTGGCAGTCATTCCTTGAAGGCACGGTTAACGTAATTTTGAGGTATCTAGTTACGGACGAGTAATGGATTCCACGGTAGTGCAAAAAGGTGTAGAAAAAATTGGCGTATTCAGAGAAATATGTGGCCTCGAAAAAGTAGTAAAGTTAGGGGTAGGACGGGATATGACGACGTTACATGGAAGAGGCCAATGGACGAGCCGTCCAAATGTGCGTGCCATTGCGTACATCTGGCTACAATAAGCTGCTTATGTGCAACGTATG